ATGTATGCGGATCCCTATCTGGGAATTTCCTAGCGGCTACCGCTCAAGAAGGCAGGGGACCACGTTAGTTATTTATTTTCCTGGCCGGCTCCCACTCGGAGATTAGCGATGGCGAGGAAGGCGTGCAGCCAGCGGGGCGGCTGGAGACGGGCACTGCTGTGTGTGGTGGACACATCTCTTTGGATGGGGAGAGCATCAGGTCCCACGGGGGGAGGAGAAGGGTGTGTGGCTGCTCTCGTGGGAAGGCTGGGCAAGCAAATCACCCAAGTGAAAACGCTGTCGAAAAGTGCTGCGGCTGCCTGGGCTTTTTTTTTTCTTTTTCTTCTTCCTTTTTCCCCCCTCCTTCCTTTCCCCCACCCACCCCCCGCACCCTCTGTACCGGCGGGGTCGCTAAGAGGCGGGGAAGGGGGGGGGGAGGCTGCACCCTTGGGGTCTCCGCTCCCCATCCCCGGAGGAGGCCCGACGGGGCGGGCAGAGCTCATAGGGACCCTGAGGGGACGGGGAGGAGGGAGCCCGGGTGGCACCGGGCAGGGGGAGGAAGGCTCTGGGGGTGCTGAGCCATGACATGGGGGTGTCCCTCCCGTCCCGACGTGTCCTGACATGGGGGTGTCCCTCCCGTCCCGACGTGTCCCTGGGCGGGCTGCCCTCCTTACCCGCTTTGACGGAGCAGTGGATGTGCGCCTTGGACTCGTAGTAGACCCAGTCGAAGCCGGCCTCGACGGCCAGGCGGGCCAGCATGCCGTACTTGCTGCGGTCCCGGTCCGAGGTGGTGATGTCCACGGCGCGGCCCTCGTAGTGCAGGGACTCCTCGGAGTGGTGGCCGTCCTCGTCCCAGCCCTCGGTCACCCGCAGCTTCACCCCGGGCCACTGGTTCATCACCGAGATCGCCAGGGCGTTCAGCTTGTCCTTGCAGCGCTGCGGGGATAGGGGCACACGGGGAAAGGCGCATGGCGGGGGGGGCTTGCAACCAGGGGCAGACCCCCCCACACACCCCTCACCATCCATTATCCCCCCCCATGGCCGCATCCTGCCCTCC